TTAATGTGGAGGGTCACTTTCAATTTGATGTTAAAATTATCAAGAGCTTATTTTCTATAACATGAGGAAAAACAACCAAGCCATTCAAAAGACATTTGTGAAGGATGAAAATGAAAGGGAGTGTTTAAGTGGCATCTTGGAAAGACATTTAGATCGATGTATAGGTTTGGACTTAACGCCAATTGTTCTATTTGGTCTCTATTTGGTCCCTGATGCCGTCCCAAACTAAGGACCACTACCAACTGGTCCTCCAGGAAGTGCTCAACGCTGCAAATAGATGGAGGATCGAAGGTGGCCCTGAGAAGATCATGTCCGACTTCGAGGTGGGCATTATGAACGCAGCCGCACGTGTCTTCCCGGACGCCGACCAGCAATGCAGTTTTTTTCATCTTGGCCAATCGGGCTATCGCAAAGTCCAGCAAGTGGGTTTACAAGAGGCGTACAACGACGTTAATGATCGTTCAGTGAAGGACAATGTTCACATGATGCTCGCCCTAGCATTTGTTCCCCCCTCATGCATGACGTCCTTCCAACGTTCTTAGAGCTTCAAAGAGATGCCCTCAGAGTGCTATAGCCCCGGTGCTGCAGTACTTCGATGACACCTACCTGAGGGGGCCGCGAGCGCGGAACAACAGGAGGAGGGCTGGAGCCGTACCCAGGGATCCTTATCCTTAACTTAACTCAACATTTAACAAGTGATACCTGTGCCTATGTCGCTAATGATGGAAATGTGATTGTGTTGTGGTACGTCGACGACGCCTGCGTTGTCGGTTCACTTAAACACGTAAATTGGTTTGTTGATGAATTGTCAAAGTTGCTTAAAGTCAGAGTTCTTGGTCCAAATAGTCAGTATCTATCCACAAGGTAGGTGTACGCCAGACCGTGTCTTGTCGTAACAGGCTTCGCGATGCTGCGCCAGTTTCGACTATCCACGCCTGGCGTTTGCACCTCACTGTTAAAAAAAATATGAAAATTCAGACTGATTTCGTCTTACTTGGTGGTCTGAATCGTAAATTCATAAAATGGTACGAATATTAAGACCAACTGTCTGAAAAGTTTGACCTGTTGTCTGAAATTTGAATTTAGACTAGCAAGTCTGAATATTTAGAGCGATGGCTATCAAGTTTTGTACATTGTCGTCCGAAAACTAAATTCATACTTGTGAAATCGAAAAACGAGTGAAAAAAACCCGTCCCCTTTGTACATTTTTCGATTTTCTCAGAACTTTTATCAATACTACTGTTGTATTTCAAATAATATTTACGTTTAGTGTCGTAAAAGCATAGAGAATGTTTCAGAGCTCCGAAATGGACACTTATTCCTCTATCCGCTAGGTGGCGCTAGTGTCGCATGGATGATCTCTTGGAGCTAAAATTGCCACTTGAAGGCGAAATTGCGAATATTTTGTTACAAACTTATTCCAAGTGATTGTCTGAAAGGGCATGAGCGCACCAAAGCAAGATTCAGGTTAATAAGTGCAGTATAAGCTAAATAACAAAGAATACAATTTCACTCTCGCGCATGGCCACGGGTCGGCGCGTGGTTGGGCTAAGGCCGCTCTCCCTCGCATTTCAGCAGTCACCTCTAGCCTCTTCACTTCCTTTGCAAGTAGAAGTCTACTGCCGTGTACCTAATTTTTGAGTCAAGACGATCCGCTGAGCGTCTACGATAAACCGATGGCAAAAGTTCGCCGATTTGTGTTCTACTCTACAGAGTGGCATTTTTTAGTGCGACTGTTCAATGTCTTCGTACAACTTAGTCTGATAAAATAGACCGACTGGTATCATTTTTCATACAACATGTTGATCTGAAAATTCAGACTAACGTCGTCTGAAACTTTCAGACCGCGAAGTATGAAAGTTTTGGTATGAAAATTCAGACTGAATGTAAGTAAATCGACTTCTTACAAAAAATAATGAATTTTCAGTAAATTTTTTTAACAGTGATACCTTGGCCTGCGGCGCCAGCCTGCCTTCGGCAGGCCATGGATTGGGCTTGCCCAGCGTCGGTAACTTCTAAATTGTTGCATGCTGGGGGGCTCCGCCCCCCAGACCCCCTTTCATTCCAGATAGAGTTGCTTCATCTACAGATAACACGATCTTGACCGCCGTTACTTTTCAACTTGACGGGGCTGGGGGGCTCCCCCCAGACCCCCCTTTCTTCAAGGCGGAAGGCATTTGCCTGCAGAAAACACTATTTTTCGCCGTTTTTTAGGTGTTTTTCGGCTATAAAAACTGAACTAATTGAGCTAGGATAGTGAAATCTCGCGTGTGCCGAGCCAAGGACATACCAAAAAAGTGTGCAAAATCTCAGCCAGATCGGCCGAGCCGTTCAGGAGGAGTAGTGCTGACAGACAGACAAACACACAGACAGACAGACAGACAAAACTTTTCAACCCCACCTGAGTAACGGGCTTCGCTATCGCTCAGCCAATAAATATTAGAAGGGAAATAGATTGTATTACACTTTCTCAACAACATTATATATTAGAGTTAATTGGCTGAGCGATAGCGAAGCCTGTTACTCCAGTGGGGTTGAAAAGTTTTTTCTGTCTGTCTGTCTGTCTGTCTGTGTGTCTGTGTGTGTACACTACTCCTCCTGAACGGCTCGGCCGATCTCGGTGAGATTTTGCAGGCTTATTTGGTATATTCATGGCTCGGCACACGCGAAATTTCACTATCCTAGCTCACGTGGTTCAGTTTTTATAGCCGAAAAACGCTTAAAAAACGGCGAAAAATCGAGTCTTCTGCAGGCAGATCACTTCTGTGTTGAAGGAAGGGGGGTCTGGGGGGCGGGGCCCCCAGCCAGGACAAGTTAAAAAGTTACAAGGATCAAGATTGTGATATCTGTTGATGAAACAACTCTATCTAGAATAAAGGGGGGCAGCCCCCCAGTATGCAAGACAAGCCAATGCCTGCCGAAGGCAGGCTAGCGCCGCAGGCCAAGGTAGGTATGCCAGGCGCGGATTGGAGGAACAGGCCGCGAGACATCGCGAAGCCTGTTACGACAAGACGCGGTCTGGCGTAAATCTACCTTGTTTCTAAGTATGGACTGTCTGAGGATTTGTGTTATAACATTAGTAAACTCTCTCAGTCATCCAGTAACCCAACTGTTAGAGATTGGGATGATGTTGTCCATTGCATTAAGTATTTGATTAAAGGATTTTAAGTTGTGTTTTAAGAGGTCATCTAAACCAATTGTAGTATTCTGTGATTCTGATTATGCTGGTGATTGTACTGATAGTAGGTCAAGATCTGCTTATGTTTTCCTTCTGGCTAATTGTGCTTTCTCTTGTAGATGCCAAGCCACAGCTGACATCAACTTAAAATTGGCTGAGTTTAATGGGTTCTTGGACGATGGATCCGTTATCAACTTCCAATGCGGATAACGATCACCGAGGGGTCGGCAACTCATATATTACTTCGTACGCGGTGGCTATATTACCTGTATATTACCATATATTACTTGCATATTACCACAATTTCGCCTCTATAATACCCCTATATTACTATATATTACTTTGTATTACTTTATATTCCACATATATTACCTATATTACTGGTAATATACGTATACTCCCTCGTACACGGCCAAGGGAAGTTGCCGACCCCTCGACGATCACTCACTGATTTGAAGTATCTGAGGCTTCCCTTCAAATAAGGGAGCTCACCCCTAAACTCAGCTATAGCTAGCATGTCCGGACGCCTTATCACGAGCTCTGTTAGGATTGTCCGAATGTGGGTGCACTCGGCCTACTCGAGAGGATTTAGTGTCCACACCGCCATGGTACCTTGGATAACGTCAAGAGCTTTAGCGGCGACCATGTAATCCACCATTACTTTGCGAGCCTTCCAATAGGAAGTTACTCTTTCATAGAATTTTGCTACAGGGATAACCCCGGGCGTCATGATGTTGAATTTCTCTCGGTCTTCAGGGACTCCTGCCTTTGCACAGGCCCCACGAGAGCGGGAGCCTGACCATCTTTCATAGTTATCTGACGAGAGATTTTTTGCGCACCAGAGCACCATGACACAGAAAATGGCCAGAAAGTGTCGATGGTCGATTCGGACTATTCCTTCCTCCATCGCCTTCACCTGATCTGCATATTTCTTGCGGCATGTTGCTAGATCCCTGGCAATAAATTCGATATTGTGGCTGGCAAATGCTGCCTTCAAAGGTCCTAGTAGTCCAGCATCAGAGGCTATAGCCTCTATACGAAATAAGAAAAGATAAGATCGCATACCATGTCCATGTCCTCAATGACATCCTTGTCCCTTAGCGAGGATTGTAAGGATATCAGTAGCCTTCCCTTTAGGACTGGTCCTACAAACATAGTAAGGATATACAGCTTTCCTAGTAAGTTTCTCAGGTTGGATGTTTACAATCTTGATCACATCACTCCTACATTCTTCTACTTCATTTATAAAGTCTCCTGAGCTTGTGAGGATATCATTTAAGGGACCCCCTAGAACACCAACCCTTTGAGCGTTAATCTTTGATCTAGTCGCCATGACAGCAACCTAGGATAGGTCGAGATGGATAATGGTGTCTTTGATGAGACACGTGGTCTATCAATTTCTTTTTGGACTTGTCGTTGAGAATATCGTCAGACACATGGCGAATCAGATAAGCTCGGGCACGTTGGTTTCGCTTCACCTGCAGCGGGGTCATCGCCGGCGGCGGAGGTGGCTGGCCCTCTACTTGCGCACGTTGAGCCGGGTATCCGGGTTGGATGGCTTCCCAGAGATCGTCTTCAGTCAATTCTGCTTCGGCCTTCAGCGCCCAAATTTCATAGTTGTCATGGGTCAGGATGTTTCTGTCCTGAATGACAGCGTTGATGACATCGGGCATAGACGACGAAGAAGACATCTTGATTTACTGAAGAACGACGCACAAAACAGAGCACACACGCGGATGAAACTTGATACGACTTTCCGCTCGTGGTTCGACTGGGCCCATAACCTGTAGTTGGTTAGGATCGAATTAATCAAAGGCGGATGTGTGCTCTCGACTCTTTAATTCCGAAGACTGACGACTGACGGTTACACATGCTTACAGGTTGACAAGACAACGTATTTGCAGTACAAAGTTATTTATTTACACGACAAGGGAAGGCACTGCTGCCAACTGTTAAGATGAAACAATTTCAATAACAACACATCCCCCGCCCCTTCCTTTTTTCTTTACCCCAAAACAGGGATCCTTAAGCAAGTGTTCACTCAGAGCAGAATTTGTATTCGGATTTTCAGATATTACTACGAATACAGCTTACAAACAACTAACTAAACCGAAAGAGACGGATTTATTGTTCGTCGTCGTCGTGACTTGGCCCGTGCTTTAAATCCTATCCTTGACTGTAAAAGTTAATGGATCATCGAAGCTGAACAGCATGCGGAACTTGGTCTTGGCAGGGGGACGGTTCCACTCCATTGAAAAATTCCGGAACACCTGCAACCAACAGAATATTTTTGTCAGTCTTGGTCCAACTTGCACACGCTTAAAACCTTACAAAGTGTTTTGAGCATACATTATACAATACAAACTAAATTACTCTACTAAGTCCTATTTTCTAAGCTTATGTATGCTCAAAATACTTCGTTATAACAAACTGCTTTTCTCCGTAAGTCCTAAAATAGTTCGTAAGGTATTTAAGTTCAAAGGTATATTTGTTTTTAGTTGAGGGATTAAAACTTTCTGTTTGCATCGCTCGTTTGCTATCTGCAGCGTTTAGCTATTTCTAAGCTGTAGCAAAGCTTCGTGTCAGTTTCAATTTGAACCGACGGAAGGCTTTCTAATTTTTTTAAATTAAATTGCCCAACTAATCATGTTTTAATGCACGACGTTTGATTTTGTATATCTGGTTTTGTATAAGTCAGCCTAATCTTAATTTTTAGACTGGGTACAAATATTCACCCTTACCAAACCGAAATCATCCGAAACTGGCCGAGGATACATCCAAAGCTGTCCAACTGGCCCAGGACAGCCCGTTTTCTGTCCGGGACTCGACTTTTCAAGTCCGAATCCGGGGACTGGCGAAGCGGACTGCCCGATTATTTGCCGAAGTCTGTCGGAGCGTCCGAATCTGTCCGACGGTCTGTCCGATACAGTCCGGATGCAGGGGTGACCGCCGGAAAGCCTTGGGTTAGGACCGGCCGGGATACAGTCAATCTTGTTAGGGCAAGTTCGAACTTTTGAACATGTTGCAGTGCCTGATAGCGGCGAGTCGAGCGGTATTCTCTATCCTGGGTGGGCCTTCTCTTGTTTGCCTCAGACTCCTAGAATTTCGAGCGAATAATTCCGAAGGGATTGTTTGCCTCGCGGGAAAGCCCCCGCCGCACGCGGGTCGCGCGGGGGACGGGTTACCTCGGGTTGCCCCGGCGGGACGCCTCTAACCCGCCCATACCTGCGCAGATGCACAGGTAACGTGGTACAAACACAGTGTCATCAGAAAGCACGCTGTATTAGAACACACATTTATTTTGCAAAAAAAAAGCAGCGTCAAACTGTAACATGCAGGGCGGCGTGTTAAAATATTACTCGTTCAATACGGCAATGACCTAAATCTGTTAATGCTTGACAGCAAAGAAGTTTCCCATGAATATATTTTTTTTTCACATAGTGAGTACGACTAAAGCTGCTCAAATTTTACCAGATCTAATTTAAAATATGTGAGCCACTATGTCGAATCCCGCCATACAGGTGATTCAGACAAGAGACGCGTCGAAAACCGCACCCTTCTAGCTTGCATAGCGCGCGGTGCGCTCGCCACAGAGAGGAGGACGGAGCGCTGCGCCGGTGAAGAGGCTCGCCTGCGGGCCCGGCCCTCATGTTTCAGGTTAGCGCAGTGGTCAGCGACGTCGACAACAAGCAGCGAGGAAAGTCCAAAGGAGAGGGGCCCGGGAACGAATCCAGCCACAGTAGCCCCACCTCGGCCAACGCCAGTTTCATTTTTTTTTTCGGACTCGTCTCGGACGGCCCGGAACGAGCCCGACCAGCCCTGTCGGACTCCCCGAAATCCTTCTGATTGTGGTACTTTTCGACCGATTCCCGGCAAGTCCGGGAAAGATTGCGGAACTGTCCGGCGGGGACTGACGGACTGTCCTCCGGAAAATTTCGGACCGTCCGATCGGACTCATTTCGGAGCCTTCCCCGTTTTATAAGGGCAGACCGAGCATGGTTTCAGACTGCACTGTCTGACATAAGACAAGCGTTATGGAATTTCATGAAAAGGTCTGGATTGGTGTTTCGTAACGTCAAGTCTGAAAAAAGTTGTCTGAATTTACAGATTTTTTTACAGTCTAACCAAACCTTAAGGGCTCGTGACAGATCTTTACGCATCTTACGCTACTCGCGGCAGATCTTATTCTGAAACTTATGGTCCGACCTATCCCAACCAAACCTAACGGGCTCGCAACAGATCTAACAAGACTCCCACGACCTACGCGCGCCACTGTCCAACTTACAGTATGATTGGCTGAGCGATAGCGAAGCCCGTTACTCCAGTGGGGTAGAGTGGGGTAGACCGTAGAAATGGGCGTGATCCCCTCAATAAATAGCATTTGGTCATCAAAATCTACACCACCAATGGGATTCAACTTTCGGTTGGGGTCCGAACGGGTTCTATTTTCGTCATCAGCAGCCTCCAAAACATAAGAAACGATATGAAACTTGACAAAAAGTTGAAAGTACCTAAAAAGTTATCTTTTTTTCTGCCGTTTTTTAAGTGTTTTTTGACTAATGTGACCGAATGGATTGAGATAGAAAGCTGAATTTTGGTGTGTGGCGAGCCAAGGACATACCTAATAACCCTGCAAAATCTCAGCTGGATCGGCTGAGCCGTTTAGGAGGAGTAGTGCACACACACACACACACACACACGCGCGCGCAGACAGACAGACAGACAAAACTTTTGAACCCCACTGGAGTAACGGGCTTCGCTATCGCTCAGCCAATAATGTCAAGGTCAACCTTTTACGACAAAATAGTATGCGCAAGAAGATTTTTTAAGATACAGCCAAAATAGGCTCAAAAAGACTCTTCGACTGGGTTCAGAGCCTGGCATGTGCCTTCAAAAGTCAAATTTTAGTCTCCTCGAAGAAAGATTTTTGGCTGAGCGATAGCGAAGCCCTTGCCGTGTTTGGGCGCGCCGAAAAGTGACTGGTCGTGCGTCTGTCTGTGACTCTGTTTGTACTCACCAACGATTCTCAGCAACTACAGTGGCTATAGTTTCAAGATTTCGTATTTAAAGTCGCCTTAGCACCCCCCAACACGAGTTTGTTTCAAATCGTTGTTTAGTATCGTTTGAAATATTCAAAACATATTTTTGAATCAGGTCATGTGGTTAGGTTGGCAGCGCGGCACCGCTTACCAATTTCTCATACCTGCGTGTCCGCGGCTCTCAAATACGGTACATAAGCAAATAAGCAAATAAAACGAATTAAAGAGCAGAAGGGTTTGGAAATGAGATCGGCCTTAGTTTTTCAACATTCTAGAATGTTTAAAACCCTTTTGGAACACCAACACAGCGAAATATGGAGAATGGATTTGAGAATGATTTACGTGTTTCGTTCCCCTCTGCCCCCTCCACTGTCAGAGGGGAATCATCTTCAGGTCAGTGCACTTTGACAAAGCATTGTAAAACGAATGTTTTTATTTTGACCTTTTGTATTGTGTGCATCTTCTTATTCCATTTTAGTGTCATCCTCTTTTTAAAATGTTCAAACTAGAGGAAATCAGGGAAATGCATAAATAACTTGTGTTGACATTGGCAGGCATACTTAGTTTGGACTCAAGAAATGCATTCTTTTGCAATGCTCCAAGCTGACAAGAGTGCAAAAGCACTAGCATGTGTTTATTAATAGAATCAATGTATGGTTGTGTATATATAATCCTAATAGAGTTTGAATTGATATTGGGTTCAAAGAGACGACTCAGGTTTTGAGCGGTGAGTCAATTAGTGCATAGACAACCAACTATATATATGATTAGTGATGGGATTTAATGAGACGATTCCTTTAACTTCACCAAAGTTAATATAACTGATACTACTTAGTATTGATCACATGAGTAAGATAAATTATGTCGGTTCATGAAGCCTTAGGTAGCCTTAGCTTTGGTCTCTATGTGACGAAACACTGGATTTGACAATAATTGGTCCCCGCTAACTGGTTCAGATCAGCCTACCCCAAACTGACTCTCTCAATATTAACTGTGATAACATATTCCAGTCAATATTGTTTTATTCACTGGTTCACAATGAAAGAATGACAAAATGTTTCATAAATATTACTTATAAAATTGTGAGTTCATAAGTTAAGAAAAAATAGTTATCGAATAGTGACCCAAGCATACGAGTAGCCAATAAAGCGATTGAATGCTGGCAATTGAATTTTACTCGACTGAGGGATTCGCTTTGGTGTGCCATCAGGGAATTGGTGACGACAGAGGGTGCTTCATGAAGACAAATAGAAACAACATACAGAAATTGAGTCTAAAGTATTGTGTGTAGTTTTCAGTGTACCGGTCTCAAAAACTTCATTTATTTCAACGCCAATCCTACATTTTCATCTAGAGCTACGCAATTTGGGGCCAAACTTTCCAAGATTAAATTTATGTGTTTCCCTGTATTTTTCAGTGCGCTGACCTCAAAATTGACCTTTAAATTGTCCCCTAACCCAAAATTTAACCAATTCTTGGTTAAATTTTTTAAAATTAATTGTACAGTGATTCTTGCAGTTTTTTGAGTGCTGATAACGAAAATCACTCCCATTTTAACACCAGACCTATATTTCCATCCCGTATTAGGTCATTTTGGACCAAAAAATTTTAAGTCAAGTTTTATATTGTTTCCTGCAGTTTTTGGTGTGCTGAACTCAAAAATGACTTCCAAAATTTTCCCAGACTCACATTGAACCGAATTTTGACCAATCTTGGACCAAAATTTTTAAATCGAGTTTGACATTGATCCCAGCAGTTTTTTGTGTGCTGATAACGAAAATCACTTTCATTTCCACTCCAGACTTATATTTTCATCCTAAATTAGGTCATTTTGGACCAAAATTTTCATGTCGAGTTTTATATTGTTTTCTGCAGTTTTTGGTGTGCTGAACTCAAAAATGACCTTCAAACTTTTCCCAGACTGACATTTAACCGAATTTTGACCAATTTTGGACCAAAATTTTTAAATGGAGTTTGACACTGATCCCAGCAGTTTTTGGTGTTCTGATAACGAAAATCACTTCCATTTGAACCCCTGGTCTAAAGTTCACTGAATATGAGCCCATAAGATGGACATTTTGTCTACTCAAGCAAAGTCCAAAGTGCACAAACTATGTCAATTCGCATCGCTCAGCCACACTACGCGCCCAGACTAAACGGCGCGTACCCCTAGTATATTCCAAACATATTGTGACAGTGGGATCCATTTGGAAAATAGCAAGATTTTCACCAGAACCTCCCCTTTAAAAACTTTTTCTGTCTTCGTGTGTGTCTGTGTGTGTGTGTCTGTGCGCGTCTGTGCGCACTACTCCTCCTGAACGGCTCGGCCGATCTGCCTGAGGTTTTGCAGGGTCATGAGGTATGTTCTTGGCTCGCCACAAACCAAAATTCAGCTTTCTATCTCAATCCATTCGGTCATATTGGCCAAAAAAAACACTTAAAAACAGCAGGAAAAAGATAACTTTTAAAGAACTTTCAACTTTTTGTTAAGTTTCATGACGTTTCCTATGTTTTTGAGGCTGCTGATGACGAAAGTAGAACCCATTCGGACCCCCGACCCAAAGTTAAGTCCCATTAGTGTAGATTTTGATGACCAAATGCTATTATTCGTGGGGATCACGCCCATTTCTACGGTTTGTCTAGAAAAGCAGCAGCCTGCCGAAGGCAGGCTAGCGCCGCAGGCCAAGGTAGGTGTGTACGCCAGGCGTGGGCGTGGATTGTTGAAACTGGCGCAGCATCGCGACGCCTGTTACGTCAAGACACGGTCTGGCGTACACCTACCTTGTTTAACCAGGGAACTGAGCTCGGACGCGTGTTTAAAGAAACGTTTGTATTGCGGTCCGGGCGTTCCTAAAATCTACCGAGGGGGGAATCCAGGGGGCGGCAACGGCCTAGGAAGCGCGTGAAGCCATGCGCGAGTAAGGTGCATAGGTCACTTATTTTGCTTCGATTGTATGATCTAGCCCGTTGATTGCCAAACGCTTTGCACAGATCAAAAGAGCACAAAATTTGGGGTGCATTAGGCCTAGTAGACTGCCCGATACTTCCAATTCAACCGAACACAAGGGTGGAACCATTTACATCAACATGGCGCATTCGAGTTTTTCCTAAATTTTATGATTTCTCGTGTTTTTTGGTGTTTTCACTGCACCTTAATATCAGGTAAGGTGAGAGTTTGGAGAAGAGCAATTAGCCTAATGCACCCTAAATTTCAAGCCCTTTCCATCGGTGCTAAGCGTTTTGAAGAACACAGTCTAGTTTTCATAATCTCGAACAAGTGCGCAACCTCTACACTGACGGCGCGAGCATCGCTTCACGCTCTTCCTAGGCCGTTGCCACCCCCTGGTGTAATCACTTGTGTACTCACTGTACTCACAAGTTAAATTTGATTTGCTAGTTTTGCTAGTTTGAAGATTTGGTGTTACGAACTGTCTGAAACACTAAATAAAAGCTTTAAATGTAAAAAAATGTGAAATTTATGAGTTTTCCACAGTGTACTCATGTACACTAGCCGAGTAATTCACCCCTCGGAATCTACACATTCCATCTTCAGAGTAATGCCACGCACCTTGGCCAGGAGAATCTCGATCTCCAGGTCCGCCAGCCTCTGCCCGACACAGGACCGCGGTCCGAAGCCGAACGGCAAGAACGCGTAGGGGTGTCTGCATTTGATGTGGTCGCCGCCGGGCAGCCAGCGCTCTGGAAGGAACTCGTCCGCCCGCGGAAAGTAGGCCTCGCTCACTGACAGCTGGTGCGTGACCATGCAGGTCAAGGTCTGTCCGGAAATGTTACGAAAGACAGACTTAAATACAATGCAGTTTATTGTGCATAAGCTATACGAGAAACTGTGCATGTGTTTAAAAATGCTCGAGTTTGTGCGCAAATGCGCACGAAAATGTGCGTTGTTTCGTGCTTAGCTTGTGAACAAAAACTTCTCCATTCAAGGGACGTTCATGGAAAATTTTGGAAATTAATACCCTATTTAAGAGAAGCTAGAGTAAATTTTCAAAATTGTCCAAAATGGCCTTTTTTTACATATCAACGGTTTGGTCTCGACAAGAAAAAAAATTTGTGTGCTCACGTGTCATCAGCTTGGACGCAAACTCAGAAAGTTGGTTCGGAAATTCACGGAAAACGACCAAATGATACGTCTTGTCTTATCCAGAAACAAAGCTTTCGGCAGGGCGACCAAACCCTTTAAGGACTTTCTTCCTATGCGTGAGAGGATCATGTGAGGTAAGTCACATGGAAATCGAAGATGAGATATTTTAAAAACAGCAGATTTTCGATAAAAATATTAACTTAAATGGAGAAAGCGACATCAAAACTTCATCCAATCGTCTCAAAGCTATTCCATCGTGTTCCCCAGCTCCTTTTACGTCAGGACGCATTGTCGGCAAAATCTAAAATCTGAAAAGTACGGAGAAAAATAAAGAAAATGACATGATTGTGACCAACTTTGGTGAAAACTTCACTATGTTATCACAGCCGAACGGGGCGAGATATCGCAAAACCCTTCGACATGGGGTCTTTTCATAATGACCCGTACCCCTACAAAAAGTTTCATCCAAATCGAAGAGATGAATTTCCAAGATTTCGTTGGTTTGGCACGGAATCGCCCAACCACTATTTGCGATATTCTAAATTGAGTAACTTACCCCCTTGGGAACCTGGTATCCGCCGATAACCATATCTTTGACAGTGGTGCGGACAAGGCCTAAGGCGATCGGCATCAGTCGCATGGTTTCCTTGATGCACGCCCGTAGGTACCTAATTCAAGACAATGAGAACCACAAAAACGAATATGGGCAAATTTGTTGTTCTATGCCAGAGTAAATTACTCAACACGGAGATATGCTTTTGTTGATTTGAGGATGTAAGCATTAAAACGCTTTTACACACTTAATGTCATGTGACTTTTTTCTTGTACATTATAAGGCATCAAATGTGTAATCAAATGTAATTGTAACGACTCAGACTATGAATTTTCTCTGCAAACAGGAAATGATTTTTAGCGTAATTGTACGCTTCAAGAAGCACTGAAAAACCAAACGTGGTCTAGACCGCACCAACTGGTGTGGTCAAATGGATGCCATTTTGACCATGCCAGTTGCTGTGGTCTAGACCGCACCAAACGTGGCCGAACGTAGTCTAGACCGCACCAAACGTGGCCAAACGTGGTCTAGACCACACCAACTGATGTGGTCAAAATGGCACCCATCTGATCACACTAGCGGTGCGGTCTGGACCACATTTGGTTTTTCAGTGGGGGCGTGCCGTAATGTCTTCAATCGTAATTGTATACTTGAATACATCATAAAAATACGTTCCAGTTTCCCAGTTCAGAAAATTCAGATTAAACAAACACAACATAAACGGGCCCCGTTGTTCGCCATGTTTCCAGGAAATTGTCAAATCGAATTTTTCACTTTTTCCCCCTTGCTTTTTGGCCCGTCCCGTTTATTTTTTTGTAAAAAAATGACGGAGGGACGGGCATATAGTATGATCCCTGCTGTGCGTCCGTTCGTCCGTTCGTCCGAGGACTTCCCGTGGTCCGATCTTGACCAAATTTGGTATGCAGCCTCCTTGGGTGACCCTAAGAACCGCCCGGTGGCAGCAAATCCGATCCGAGCCCCGGGGGCGCTGCTGCAGGTGCATCATGGTCTACATGGGGTCGAGGAGGATTTCGGCAACGGATACAGCTAGCAGGGCATGTAGGGGTATTTTTGGAATCGGGGCGACGAGACAAAACCAACGGTGCCAGTTTCAAGCGAATCGGAGAAGTTTGGACCCGGGTTCAAATCCCAGTGGGGTATATTTTGAACATTCTTTTTATTCGAGTTTTTGCATTGTTTCTTAGGTTTTTGAGGGCGCTGATGACGAAAATAACATCTCTTTTGATCCCAGACTCAGGTTCAAACCCGTCAGGGTTAAACAAAGGCGAAATTCACACATTTCACTGTAAAAAATTTTGACACGAATTTTCGTGTTGTGGCTAGTGAAACGCCCCTTCTTAGTTATACTCTTAATGAATTTTGTGTGTCAGTGGCAATGAAACTTCATTCGCCATGGCACACAAAATTTTGCTGGCCACTGGCGATCAGAAGGCTTCTTTCCTACGCCAAATGGCAATTTTTGAGTCGTGGCGCTGAAAAGTATGCTCGGAACCAATATTGTGAACTTTCAAGTTTGGCGAGGAGAATTCGTCTCGGGCCGATGAAAAAAGCGGCACAAGCGGTCGGCATAGAACCCGAAACTTCAACTTGGATGTCTTGTGCCTTGACCTCTCGGCCACCGCACCACTGCTGGGTGGAGCACTCAACAGCGCTTCATCATGGACTCGCGAGGATTAGCCTGGTGCCACACCACCAGGTGTGGCGAAGCAAAGCATTCTTCCCTTAGCCACGACCTGAAATTTCTTAACTGACCTGGGTAGGATGCCTTTTCAGTGCCACACCTATGATTTTTCTCCGCCAAGGGGCTGTCAAATTTAAAGTCGTGGCGGAGGGAAGCATCGTTTTGTTAGCCAAGTGGTAAATTTCACATTTCGACTTGGAATTTTATAAGCCAATGGCTCTATATATTCGATCTCGTGGTTTGGAAAGTGGCCTTTCCATAGCCAGTGGCGCTTTAAACACACTTTCGTGTCTGGCTAAGAAAATTCAAAAAGCCATTGGCTACATAAATTTAAAGCTATTTTTTACAGTGTTGTTAATGTACGGGACGGGCCAAAGTTGCCGATGTATATCGCTACTTTTCCTGTTATTTCTTTTGTTGGTCGTCATTGCCTCATGTCCTTGAGTTGATGCTTCTCCAGCGTGGCGGTCGGATTCGGTAACAGACGGTCCACTTCTTCATGCAGCCTGAGCTGCTTCTCCGGGTTGTTGGCCAGTTGGTACGCCACCATCGACACGACTGTCGCTGTCTGCGGGACAATGAAGCAAGAGAGGCCCCCAATTGGGCATGATTTGAGGAGCGCAACATGTCTTTTGGAGATTCAAAGCTCTGCAAACGCAAGTGTGTGCATGGCACATTCACGGTAAAAACGGTACCTGGTTTTCCCAGGAAGCCTATGGTAGAGACATAGGCGATTTCCAGGGAGTTCCTGGGAAAACCAGGTTCCGTTTTCACCGTGTTGATTAAAATGTGTGCCTGCATGCACACTATTCTGAAGTGTCCACAGGCACACCCTTTCAAAGAGTGTGCTTGCCAGGCACACACACTTACACGGTAAAAACGGTTCCTGGTTTTCCCAGGAACTCCCTGGAAATCGCCTGTCTCTACCATAGGCTTCCTGGGAAAACCAGGTACCGTTTTACCGTGTTTAGAACAGCATGTCAGACCTAGGCACTCAGTTGGAAATTGTGTTCCTCCTTTTACACTATTTTTAACAGTGTGCACTTTAAAGTGTGAGCCATACACACTCTGAGTTTGCAGAGTGTCCAGAGTAATTCTTTCTTATCCAACGAATTTGGATTGTGGATCTAGGTTCAAACGAAGATGACGCAGCCGTGTCACATTCGAACGAAAACAAGTCGACGGTCAAAAGCCTCAGTCAGTGGCCGCAGGCATACGGAGGAAAAGAAAACATTGGCACTGAACCTTTTCTATACGCAATCTGCAAGACAAGCACGCTACAAGAATTGATCCGATAGCAAGTGTTACTTACAAGTGTTAGCAAGTATTACGTCAAATGATGAAGTTCTGAAGCTCATGCAATAAGTATGGGATTTAATAGGAAAATGTCATCAACGCGCCTGTCATCATTTTCGAGTGATGAAAACATCATCCTCGAGTTTATCATACATTAAGTACAACTTTTCAGTGTTCACTCCAATAGATGTGGGGTTGGTAGGCTCACGCAAATCGATGTATACTAAGAACAGTGGATTTTGTAGAGCAGCGCACTCTTCAAATGTATGCCTCCATGCACACTGTTTTATAGCGTGTGCCTCCAGGCTCACACTTTAGAACAGTGCCCGTAGGCACACATTTTAAAGTGTGTGCATTTAAGGTTGGAGAGCAGTTCACCGTGTCGATGCCAGCCAGGAGCATGTCGAGAGCCATGGTGACGGCTCGTTGTGGATCTCGGGTGCGGATAAGCAGATTTTCAAGGACACTGAAGTCGCGTTCCTCGTCCGCCGGGAGCCTTGACAGTCGCTCCATGGCCTTGTTGACGTGCTTCGTTGACAGCCTGGATCAAGTTACGTGCTACGGTCAGAAACAACACATACTCTTAAAACTGCTGCAGTGTACGTGGCTAACTCTTTAAAACAGCCAACATGAAGGTTGGCGTATGTAACATGAAGTGTATATGGCATGTACTACACTCATTACACCTGTTTCATTGTACATCCAAACGAACGTGACAAAATTTGAATGATTCTATTGATTCTGACGTCACGTAGGAGTGTAAATACAATGGCAAATAAAATAGTACAACAAAAGTACAACTCAAACTGTAAAAAAAAAAAACGTTAACGCTAACGTGAAAGCAGATGATACTGACGAGAATGTTAATTTTAGTGTATCACAATTCATGATTAACACGTGCATGGTTTAATGGACGAAAATGTTAATTTTGATTTAACTATTGAAGGTTCTGTGCGAACAAGTTTATCATATGCAACGCTCGACCAGCCGCCCTATCAAGTTTAATCCCGCATTGTGCTTGAAGGCGGAAACGCAGCACCAGAAGCTATGCTCATACGACAACCAATTTTAATATTTTGAATTAAGAAAATTGGAATGGTGCATTGCAAAGAACGGGAGGATACGATTAAAACAATATAAGGGTTGTGTATGTGTAAAATTGACAACTGCTACGTACTTCTCGCTACAACTGTTAAACTGCTATGTGCTATTGCTGCATTTGCACTTGCTTTACGTCTAATTGCTAAACTGTTGGCTGCGATCGAGAGTGAAAGCTAGCTGATTTAACAATCATCTGCTAAAGAAACCACAACGCGGATTGTTGGACTGCACTCATCATGCCGGCACTTTGACAAAACAATTCATTCCTGTTCCGGATAACAGAATTTGCCAAGAATTCTAGTAGGTTTGTGGTGTTCTTTCATTCTAGCAGTGTCCTCACTGGGTAACGAAGTCGATGGATGACACAAATCGCCGGTACGCTGGGGTCGAGATGAGTTTCCACGGCGACGGCAGCACGTCCAGCTCGTACATGCTGTCGAACATGCAGCGCACCGCCTTGATCATCTGGCTGGCCTCCGGGTCGGGCTGCTTCAACAGGCCCAGCCGGGCGTCCAGGGCGACCAGCGTGATGGCTGCGAGGCATCAACACTTTCAGCTTGTATAGACCTTTCCAGGATAAGCTCTTAGGGCAATGACCCGAATATTTGCGCCGCCACACTTAAAGATCCACCTTATTTGCGGCGAAACGGAGTTGAACTCTGTGTTAACTGGAGTATCAATAACACTGAGTTCAGTCCCATTTTGCTGCATGTAAGTTGCTTCTTGAAGTGTGGCGGCGCAAAGTTTAGGTTGTCGCACGAGAAGCTTTGCCTGGAAAGGTCGATTCACACCACAAACCTTCCTCCGTCTACTTATTTTTTTTTATTTCAAGTCAATTTATGTCCAGAGGGCGGACCCTGTTGTGGACTGTACAAAATGTTACAAGCGATGTTTGGCCAGGATGCTATACAATGCTATACAATATAGTTATGTTAGAAAACCCTCATAGATACAAAGTGTTCCACTCAGATAGGTACAGTAAAAGTGATTTTTTAATGCATTCTTGATAGCAAGGTTACTACTTAACAATTTGATGGTGCTAGGGAGTTTATTATAAGTTAAACAAGCTTGGTAGAAAATGGTACGCGTTTACAAATGCACTCTCGTCCTTTAATCGATATATTATCAATAGTGATTGACGTTTGTGCGCATCAATAGGATTTCGTTAAGAAGTTTAACAGATTTGTCACGACGAAAATGATAATCATGTGTTTAAAACAAATAAAAATGTAAATATGCTTTATTTAAATCAAAAACTCAAGCACAAGTCTGAGAGTGCATACTTGCGTGGTCTTGCTACAAGGCAATCGCTTTACAAGTCAAAGAAAACGAAAGGCATTGTAAAATCTGAAGGGCAATGTCCCATATAATGAAGGAAAATCCTTCGTAATAAGAAGCATTTCTTAGAAGAGGCAATTAGACAATGCCGTCATCTTCTTCGTTGTTTATAATCTAAATGCTTCTAAGACATTTAATGAGTGTGGTCAAGTTCACACAACTGAACGCTTGTGCCAAGCTCGTTGCTACGCACATGCGATTCTCGTGTACCTGCATGTATTGTCGGTGGGTACTTCTAAGGCAGTCAGGTTTATAGTGAATACTTCCGCAATGAAATGTGAGTGTGCAGTGCACTCTTCAGTGCCTTTAAAGCACTTTATATTCATGCTATTAATTTAGATGCATTCGTTGCACTACGCGGCTGCAACCACCTTTGCAAGAACTCACACTCAAGAGCCCATTTGGATATCTCATGGGAAAAGTCAGGAGGCATTTCCAGCTTGTCGTTTCGTATGACCCTCATTCTGTCAACAGAGAAAGGCTAGGGTCAGACCAGTCCACCCTGGAAGATTGGGGGCAAGACGAGGTGGACATGTTTACTGCACTGTGCACTGCACTGTGAGAAAAAGATAGAATCATAATGACGAAAGTTATGGGCGAGGTATTGTTTATCGCCAGAATTTGGGTGAGAATTATTTTGACCCTCACGGGTGAGAATATTTTCTGGCCATACAGGACTATACGTCATAGGACTTTATTTGTCCCATGAATGATGCAGTTTTAAGCACATCCGACCGTGGTACAATTTTGTTCTCGCCTGGGGACACATTATGTCCGACGACTGCTGCAAATTGTACTTTCATTGGACGATTTGTCCCGCCTGGCGTATACAAAGTTGTACCGGCAATTGACATGCTCTAGCCCGGAGTTGCTCGGCCCCCCAAAGCGTCACGGGGCGTTACTGTTTGCGTATGAACTCATGTTTTACATTAAGCATGACATAAGGTCGGGGACGGAAGAAAGTATAAAAGTTCCGCGGTGTCACAAGGTATTTCATAGGCTATCTGAGCACATTTTCATACTTAGCACTCACAAACTCGTGCATTTCGAAACCCATGCTCGCGATTTCATGCAAAGCTATGAACAAAATATACTATACTAATTGTGAAGCTGGACCGAGTCGGGGTGGGTCGAGTCAGCCGGCTCAGGGTCAAGGACACAGCAATCTTACCTGTCCACGAACTCCTGACTGACTCGGTCGATGGGACGCACGTACTGCAGGGTGTTTCTTGGCTGCATCATCACCTGATTGACAGCCGATCGGAAGGTTTGCCATTCAGGGCCCTGTCTGAAAAGAGGGTAACGAGTTTAGTCGCCTCCGACTGTCACGCGAATGCAACGCAACCTAGTTATTTTTTAAACATATTTATTGTCCATTTGTAACAAGGTATAACATTGATGCTTAACATTGATGCTTGATGCTTGCCAGATTTGGTGAATTTTTAAACTCATCGCCTGAAGAATTTAAGGTGACTGACTGTAATCTTTCTTAACCCTATATACTTTTGAAACAGGAACCGTAAACTGTCGGACTCGTGGTGTCTCCTACCACTTTTGCACTCAAAATGAATGGGTCACCACCATCACCCTTTAAATGGGTGATGCAACTTCGTTGCCCAATTTTGGGTGACCAAATATTCATCACCCAAAATTTGGTAACCGGCGTTAGGTCGCACAAATTTGGGTAACGTCGTCGGTGACGACGTGAGGTCGAAGTCCCCGATGACGGCTGTGTGGCGTTGAGGCCTCCGGGTCTCACGGCGGCCTCAACGCCACATGGCGGTCATCGTGGTGGCCCCGGAAGGACGCCATCGGGGACCTCACGGCACCGTCGACATTACCCAAATTTGGGCGATCTAACGCCGGTTACCAAATTTCGGGTGATGAATATTTCGTCACCCCAAATGGGGCAACGGAGCTGTATCACCCATTCAAAGGGTGATGGTGGTGACCAATTCATTCTAAGTGATGAATGGAACAGTTGGCACGGATAATAAAGAATACAAGATTGCCACTTCACACATAACTTTTTTAATGCCATCGATTTACTTTGACAAATGAATCCTTAAAGGCATGAGAAAAAATGAGCACTTGTTCTTCCGACTCACGAGATAATGAGGCTGGGGGGACAATGTTTCCTCATGTTGCGGAAGTAGTAGTCAAGGGAGTCCGCTCCTCCTCGAATCGGCAACGGTCCCTCGCTGCGGAAAACCTTGACAGAAGGGTGGAGTGAAAATTGGGGTTCAAGACAGTGTACCTACGGTCAAATACTTCTCGATTTTCCCGTTCTCAAGACAGGGCTCGATAAAGCGCCAATCTGTGTCTCGCCCTCAATGACCGACACTGGAAAACTCTAGTGTGCTCTCAAGACACAATTTCGTGCCCTGCACTCCCATTCCAGGAACGTGATCACGTTGGAACGAATGCGACGAAATGTCACGTCCCTTTGCTTATTATGTCACATTCATTTGGATGCGAATCGGCCATACATTAGCTTTTTCACATCCAAACGAATGTGACATAACACTCAAAGGAACGTGACACTTTGTCACATTCGTTTTAACGTGATGTCACGTTCCTGGAATGAGTGTGCGTGTATGCTGCGTGTGTGTACTAAGTGCGCTCTTCAGTTGATCCAGGAAGCGTAAGAAGGGAATAATTCCACTTATCTCCAAATTAAGGTTTTATTCTTTTGTTGTGCCTGAAAATGATTTTCATCGTTGCACCAAATTACTTGACTCAATTCCTAGCACCTATGGAGAAAATCTTTAACATCTATAACATTGCATTGATTATTGTTCAATTTTAGATTTCCCTGCTAACAAATTTTTGCTCCTCAAAAATGGTCAAAATGGAATTGTCCCCTTCTTCTGCTTCCTGGATCAGTCGTCAGTGCAACCATACCCTTCCCTGGCAGGAAGTAGGCCCGGTGGTTCAAGTTCGGCATTGCGGCTAGTCTTCTTAGGTTAGGTTTCACTTTTTTGAACCCAGATTTTCACTCCACTTAAGCGAGTTAACTCATACGTCAACACTTAAGTTTCGCGTGACGGCAGACAGCAATTACTCACCCTTGCCACCTCAACAGCGTCGAAAACGCAAACAAAGTCGGGTTTTCCTAAAATCCCACTCAGTTTCGACACAGGTCCGTAGGTCTCACGCAAAATGTCGAAAATGCGTGACGTTTCTTGCTTATAAAACTCGCCTGAAAGTGGCGAAAAGCAGCATTACTCTGCCGCTCGTGAAAATTCTTACAGATTCAAAGCAGTCGAAGCTTGCACACCACATTACTATGTAGTTTTGAGTGCATAAGATTTGCATAAAATTGTGCATGCGTTTTAAACCGCAGGAAGCGTTGTTGCACACGAATTCGTGCATATCAAGCGCATGCTCAATTCCGTGCGAAAGGTGTGCAAAAAATAAACAACAACGTAGTCAATAAGTGTGCCAAAAACTTACCACCCGGCAGGAAACGCATGATGTTCCCGATGACAGGTCGAGGTCTGGGTCCGGGCATCTCACTGTACGGAAGTGCACTGTCCCACTCCAGGCCGGCTGGGGGGGCGTCTTGGCACAGGGCCGCATCCTGTCCGGTCGACAGCAACCGAACGGGGGCCTGTCGTGACCGACATACCAGGGGTTGGCAAACGGCTGAGGGAACGCGTGAAACCATGCTCGCCTCAACTGAAGACGTTTCGGACTTAGTCGAGATTAGAGATTGTGCAAGCTAGGCCGTTGTTGGGCACGGATCGAAGAGCATGAAATTTCACCTCCCTTTTACTCATTAGCCTTCCCGGATCTTCTAATTTAACCTTAAAGGGAGGTTCTGGTGAAAATCTTGCTATTTTCCAAATGGATTCCACTGTCACAATTTGTTCGGAATATAAAATCTTTCTTTGAGGAGACTAAAATTTGACTTTTGAAGGCACATGCCAGGCTCTGAACCCAGTCGAAGAGTCTTTTTGAGCCTATTTTGGCTGTATCTTAAAAAATCTTCTTGCGCATACTATTTTGTCGTAAAAGGTTGACCTTGACATTTTTCACTTCTTCGATTCATTTTGAAAAGATGCTGGCATGCATAGCTCAAAATTTCCATTACATCATTATTTGTAAGCTTTTTAAGCTGAAAAGTCCCTAAAATTTGTCTATTTTATACAATTTTGGTCAATTACAGTGAAATGCTTGGTTAGAAAGCTTGCGAATAAAAATGTAATTTACGTTTTGAGTTCTGCATGCCGGCATCTTTCAAAAATATATCGAAGAAGTGAAAAATGTCAAGGCCAACCTTTCACGACAAAATAGTATGCGCAAGAAGATTTTATAAGTTTTAACCTAAATAGGAGAAAAAGGCTCTGCGACTGGGCTCAGCGCACAGAATGTGCCTCCCCATAGAAAAATTTTAATAATTACTTGGTAAGACATCAAATTTTTAACAAATATTCACAGTGGGACCTATTTAGGAGAAAATAGCATTTTCACCAGAACATCCCTTTAAACGAGTGAGGAAATGTTTTCAAATAGATGGTGCAACCGACTGCGGTCTAGTGATCCCGAAGAAGTCCGTAACCACTGTATAGATGCGGGGAGCATGGCGTCACGAGCTCCCGAGGCCGTTGCTGTGACCTGGAAATACTCACAAACGCCAGGCGTGGATTGTAACTGACGCAGCATCGCGAAGCCTCACTGTCAAAATTTGTTGTCACTTTATGACAAAAACGTGGATGACATTTTCATCACTTTCAAATGATGACAATCTCATCACAAATTGATGACATTTTCATCAAAGTTTCTATACTTATTGCATGGGTCGTTTTGATGACATTGTTGTAAGGAAAATTAGCCTTGAAATTGTTATCAAGTGACGTCTCAAATTTTCACAGAGCTGTTACGACAGGACACGGTCTGGCGTACCCTGTAGCTCTTCTGGGACTGAATTGTTGGTGTCTACATTAAGACTTCGTCAGGAGTATCAAAGAAACGGAGTCAGTTACAATTGACTCGCCAAAAAGTATCGCCTTTGAGTTTGCAGTGGGGTCATATGTGCACACTACAGAGCTGTCTTGTAACCGCCACTAGAGTGTCTCACCTTCAATGTCTTAATAACCGGATAAACTGTCTGCGTCAACCGAAACATAATTTGTAGTTCACACTAACACACACACAGAGACAGAATTGCCGTTCCACTGTCGTGTTTGGAAGTCGAAGTCGTGGGTGCCTGTTGAAGGTGGAGCGTGAACTGACTCAATGTTGACATCAAGGATCCCGAAACGGACGAGGAGATAACACCGACTTTCCTGGGGGCAACAGCCCCGGTCTTGCCCTTTGCAGAGATCCTTTGGTGACTTTGCAAAGCACGGGGACGAGGCGGGAGCGGCGTGATAGCGGACAAGTCGCGGTCAGTAACCTTTGACTCTCTACGCCGGCAACCCAGGGCGTCCACTGGTAGAAAAAAAGTACGGGAAAAGTACGGAACGTGTCTGGTCAATTTTTCACCTGAGCCGTCCGTACCTTACCAACCACGGAAGTTCCGTGCATGTCCTATCGAAAAGATCTCGTCAGGCCGTACTCTAAAACAAGAATCGTACCCAAAACGCAGGCGAATTTTACTCATGAAGCTCCAAATCAATATAATTTGTGATTTAATTCACTTAAACTTGAAGATGAAAGAGCAAAGAAACCTATAGTGCATGTAGAAAAATGTTCCGCTTATTCTCGTACCGTTCCAAATGATCAAACTTGGCGAAATTCACTTTCGTTTCAGTTAAAATTCTTTGAGGGGAACGTCCAGATAAGATGTTTTGAATAGGACCCCTTTCGCTAGTGAATGAAGTCAAGTGTTACAAATGCGGTTCATTTTGGAGCGTTGGTGAGAAAGGAAATGAAACTGCTTCATGGCAGCAAAACTATAATTGGTCGATACGGCTATACGGTTAATGCCCGGCCGGTAGCGCCCCGGCACACCTAAGTAGACAGGGGTGACCACTCAAGTTCTTCAACTGGATAGCGGCAACGTATCTGCCCATTCAAAACTCAAACTGCGGAAACAAGTAGAAAGACAGGTGCCATAAATTGCACTGATTCGCCCTTCCACCGCCCTCACTGTAAAACCACACTTGGTGTGGACCGCACCGACTGATGCGGCCAAATGGGTGCCATTTTGACCGCATCAGTTGGTGCAGTCTAGACCACGTTAGGTGCGTTTGGTGTGGTCATTTGCATGGGCTGCCAAGAGAAGGTCTTTTCAGTAGGATCCCCCCAAGTTGGTTCTGCCTGGCGGACACAAAATCGTATCACCACTGGATTCGCTGATAATGGCATTATTCATGGGACAACAGAAGTCCCATGACACTTGGTGTGCAGTCCCATTTCAGTCACAACATTGTTTTGATCATTTGTTACAGGTTCGCCATCTATTGGTTGCTTCATCATTTGAGCTCCTCTTCTCGCTGACCTGAAACCTCTTTTCCTTGCGAGCTGGGATCCTCGGCGCTATGGAAGTTGCATCTAGCATCGGTGAGTCAGACCTTTCCTCTTTGATTCTTAATCGTGGATTAAAATAGTCTCCGTAAAAGCATATCGCTATGTAATGGCTAGAGCCTGAGGAAGAGTGGGGCGGTTCCTAACAGGGGCGATTCGTAACAAATGCGTTTATTAATTTAAGTGGAGGGAGCAGAGGAAAATCTAAGTATGGCCCCTCTTTCGCTTCAAGTAGAAGGTTCTTGAATAATCGAAGCGGATGTGGTCGGTGCTCAGGTACAGTTTTGGAAGGCGTCTGAAATATAGGGTACACCGAAAACAGGCAAATCTTAGATTTTGAGTTCTGGGAAGTTTCTGTTTGAGGCTCCCCAGGTATGAATCACCATCGGAGTACCGTTGGGGCCTTGAAGCGTGACGCCTTTACATTGTAACCACATGTCAACTTTGTCCAGTGATGTTTAGGGACGAACTTCTTGCGTAACAGGCGTTTGGGATGATTCTTAACACCCGTTTGAAAAAAGGAATTTAAGTAGTTTATGCAATTAAATGCTTGAATTATTTCTCGAATCATCTGCTGCCTTATTCCAATACATTTACACAGCACCAAATGGACAATTGCCCCCACCCCCACCCCACCCCTAGATAGCCGCCCGAAAGGTAGGCAAAAAGGACCACTTTGCCCCTGTAAGTAGGCAGAAAGTGCTACTTTGACCCCCCCCCCCTTGGGCCGACTCTGGATCCGCCACTGAGACGATATCTCAACTATCGTGATGTCAAGTTGTGAATCGGCCAAAAATTAGCTTGTTCACATTGAAACGAATGTGATACAATGCTCAAACGAACGTGACATTTTGCCGCGTTCGTTTCAACGTGATGTCACGTTCCTGGAATGAGAGTGTTTATAGTGATCAATATTGTGCATGGTTACAAAGGAAATTCTACGCATTATTGCTATGCTTAAAAAACTTCGTTGGCATAGGACAAAAAGTCAATAATGGAGAGAAAGAAGCCAATGCGAGTCTGAGAGTGCATTCAACAGTGTTCGGTTTGGTGCCGCAGGATCCACTCGCCGGCCGCGCTTGTCCCAGGACGTGGTCCTGGTGGTGTGCGAGTCCGACTCGGAGTGCGAGACGGCGCTGCGGTCGAAGCGGCGCCGCCGCGGTGCCGACCCCGACTTCAAACCGCCTCGCCGCGTCTCGACCAAGGCCACCGAGGTGGATGACGTGGACTCGGGGACTCCCGCACCTCCTGAACCTCCCAAGCCTCCGGCCCGAAAGCGCGGCCGACAGCCATCGGTCAGGCTCGACGAGGCCGCGGCCCCTGCCGACCGCTCGCCGGAGGAGGCGACGGTGGACGACTCGGCGCGAGAAGCACCCAAACCTGCGGAACGGCGCGGGTAAGTCTGAGGCGTGCCCTCTCACTGAAAGTCAACGAACCATCGCTTTGTTATGGAAAGGAAATCAATGCGTTATGTGTTAAGCCTGTGCATATCGCATTTGAAGTAAAATATGGGTTGTTCATTTGATCTCCTGTCCCGCTCTCAGTCTCGTATGACTTTTTATCTCTTGCCATAAGATTTATTGTGCAAACGTAATATTTTCTCTTTAGCTATGCACTTTTTTGTTCATTCTATAATGTATTTAGTCTATTAAACCTGACTTTTTAGGCACGAAGTAGCCTTATAGTATACCCAGGATTCAGCCGGCCCGAGATTCGATTTGTGTGGCCCTTTATGCATTTCGGATATTTTCTATACGATTTTAATGAGATTTTGCAGACTTGTAGAACTTTGAACGCTGATTCTGATGCTGAAATCTGGTTAAAAATTTGGTGGCCAATTTTGAGAAATTTGCTGTCAAAATCGCCGTTTCCATGGCAAAACTCGACTCGTCAAAGGAAAAAAAAGGGAGTGGGGGGAGCCGAGCCGAGCCGGACCAATAGCGGAGCTTCTTTTTGGGTCTGTACAGCTTACTCCAAAAGCTGAAATAGCACGTTCGAAATGAAAAATTTCTTTGACTGCAGGTAGACAAGATGCAACAATAGAATTGGTGTCGTTTCGAACGTGGCCATTTGGATCGGCCGGCCGGCCAGTGACTTTTTATGAGAGTGTCCCGCACCAATCCCGCACCGCTGCGTTGTTGTTTTTGTTGTTGTTTTGTTGAAAATTTTTGTTACTCTTCAAATCGGAGTGAATTGAGCCATTTAACTGCGTACCTGTGCACATGCATCTGTGAATTATCTTTCCTTAATGTAGTTTAAGAGTCGCTTTAAGACTTTTAGTCTCTTTTTGAATAAGCTGGTCATGTAGCTGCTCCTTTTAGCCAGGTTTGATGGTACTTCTGATTCAGTTAGCACCATGATCACTTCGCTCCACCTCGCGACTTTCAGTGCTCATGTTCCTCGAACAAGACTCACCCGCGTTTCGAGACCATCCCTCTCGAGTTTATAAAGTTTGTCAAGCCAACCGTCGTGGTGTTGCTACGTTGTGAGAGAGAACTATTACACAGAATTGAAGAAAACATGACTAGAGGACCGTAGCCTTTTGAAACAAGCCAAACAATTCAACGTCAGCAACAATGGAGGGGCGGTTTTAATGCGCGACTATACTCGTGTTTTCAGCTTCGCGATTTTCGCAAGGGCGCAGACGCCGGCAAAATTGTTGCCAACCCGCGAAAATTAACTTACTGCCTTCTTTCTGCTACCAAAATTTTCATAATGATGGAATTCAAAGATGTTCCTCTGTCAGATCACTGTGGAATACATTAGCATTGGAATTTTTTCGAATTTCCCGGCATTTTGATTTCTCTTTATTGCCAAGGTTAAATTTTGACGGGTGGCACATCGACCACATTGGTACCACTGCCGCCGTTCGTAGCCACCCTTGAGCCACCCCCTACCTTTTACATAACTTTTTTGCTTTCCCCACTCTCCTACCCAAATTGACTTCGTGACTCCTAGGATTTCTTGAAATCGTATTTTTGTCATTTGCAGTGCACTTTTCAATTTCTACATGGTCTATGGGCAATTTTATCTATGAAACGTACAAAATTGTGCATAGCCAAAGAGAAAATAGTGCATTTTTCGTTAGCTCAAGAAACGTTGTAAGCAAGATAGAAAAAAATCCATATAGGTCTGAGAGTGAGTTTCTCCCGCACTGACCCTACCCTACTCTCATTCAAACCTCACATCGTTGAAACGGTCCTGAGAAAATTTCACGTTCGTTTTAGTATTGTGTCACATGGTCTCATTTTGTTTGAATATGAATAAGCCAATTTATGGCCGATTCACGTCCAAATGAATGTGTATCACAATGCTATACTCAAAGGAACGTGACATCACTTGTGAAACCAGGGGGGCGGCAACGGCCTAGGAAGCGCGTGAAGCCATGCGCGAGTAAGGTGCAGGGGTTACTTATTTTGCTTCGATTGTAAGATCTAGGCCGTTGATTGCAAAACGCTTTGCACAGATCAAAAGAGCACAAAATTTGGGGTGCATTAGGCCTAGTAGACTGCCCGATACTTCCAATTCAACCGAACACAAGGGCGGAATCATTTACATCGACATGGAGCATTCGAGTTTTTTTTCTAAATTTTATGATTTCTCGCGTTTTTCGGTGTTTTCACTGCACCTTTAAATTAGGTAAGGGGGGAGTTTCGAGAAGAGCAATTAGCCTAATGCACCCTAAATTTCAAGCCCTTTCCATCGGTGCAAAGCGTTTTGAAAAACACAGTCTAGTTTTCATAATCTCGAACAAGTGCGCAACCTCTGCACTGACGGCGCGAGCCTCGCTTCACGCTCTCCCTAGGCCGTTGCCACCCCCTGTTTCAACGTGATGTCAGCGGGATGTTATTTTAATTATTATTTTTTGTGCAGCCCCGGCCGACCCCGCTCTGTCAAGCCCGACGGACGCGTGTCCTCGACGAACAGCTCTCCGGAGGGGAAGGCAGTGGATGCCGTCGTCGAGTCGGAGATGAGCGGTCCGCCGGAGGAGAGGGGAGTGGGCGACGTCGATCCGGAGGCACCGGAAGCTCCGGCCCCGAAACGCGGCCGACCGCGGTCCGTCAAGACCGACGAAGCCGTGGCGCCTGCAAACCGGTCGCCGGAGAAGGAGACAGGTCCTTTTCCAGAGGAGGCGGCAGTGGATGCCATCTTGTCGCCAGAGGAGGAGAGGGTGGGCGACTTGGATGCGGAGGCGGAGGCTCTACGATCTCCGGCCCTGCAACCCGGCCGGCACCAGACCGCCAAGGCCGACGAACCCGTGGCCTCTGCGAGCCGCCCAGCTGAGGAGGAGACACCTGAGGTGAGAACGGATCGTCGCATGTATTAAGGGGGCTGATGCATGTTAATAACACTTTGTAAATAAAGAAATTTTGATGTAGACGGATCAAGATTTTACAATTTCTGCGTTAAAACCCTTTTAGATAATTGAGTAAGCTTCATTTTGGCCTAAAGTAAAGTAATTTTGGTCATTTTTTTGGAAATTTAGTCGAAACATTTAAAATTTTGGTTCTCGTAAGATTTTGTTCGAATACTTGTTCAGATCTGTGGGGGAAAAATCAGGGAGACTCATCCCCAGTAGTGTCATAGAAATGACTAGAATAGGCTTTTTACTTACAATAGTTTTCAAGAAAAATAATGTCTCACTCAGACTCGTGCGGATCATTACATTACTAGTTGAGGTTTGGGTGCGTTCAACCAACTTATCACTTACTTTTTAATAAATCAATAACTTACTGACCTCTCTTGTAATCCTTTCAATGCACCCAAACGTTTATGGTTACACACTAAAGTCTCTTGTGGACCTTTAATTGCCTACGCTCTAAACATGGAGTGCCCAGAAACGGGGTGCCTTTGTCGCCCGCCCCACTTTTTAGGGTGCCAAATGTCGCCCAGTTTCTGGGCACCTTTGTCGCCTAGTCTCGGGGTGCACAAACCGGATCCTGCCTTCGCCCATGGCTCAGCAGCACCTAGTCGCCCAGGAACCAGACAGACACCTGTGCATGCTCTACCATGGGAGAGGGGAGAGGGCCGATTACTGTGTGATTTGTCCACCCCGAGACTGGGCGACAAAGGTGCCCAGAAACTGGGCGACGTTTGGCACCCTAAAAAGTGGGGCGGGCGACATAAAGGCGCCCAGTTTCTGGGCACTCCATATTTAGAGTGTAATTACGCTTTTTTTTTCATACGTAGTTACGCACGTTCCGCCCCCTTCCCCTTCTAAATGAGCTGCTTCTCTCTCAGCCGCAGTCTTTTTGGAGTGCGCTGCCACCAGCAGTCCTCTCCAGGACATTCTGCCTGCTGGGAAATGCGGACGTCATTTCTGCAGGGCAGACTTGCCGGAGCTGGCGGACTGCAGCCAAGCTGGTAAGTCTGAGTCTCGCCGCACGCCGAACACGGTTCCTCCGTTTTCCCAGGAAGCCTTTAGTAGAGACATAGAAGATTTCCAGGGAGTTCCTGGGAAAACCAGGAACCGTTTTTACCGAGCTCGAAAAATAAGAGTACGCGGGTTCTACTTCGGAGAAGAGCTGGAACGAAAGTTGAGAGGTAATCAGGAGTATCAAAGTATGCGAAATTCGTCAGGAGAAGCGTTTGCGTCGCCGTTCTGCCGCACATGCGCGGCTTTTGTTTATCTTGATGTCTTCTTAACTTTCATTCCAGTTCTCCTACTTAGGGCTCCATTGCAGCATGACCCTGAATGAGGCTTCATCTCTCTCTCTCTCTCTCTCTCTCTCTCTCTCTCTCTCTCTCTCTCTCTCTCTCTCTCCCTCTCCTCCCCTCTCCCTCTCCTCCCTCCCTCCCTCTCTGTCTCTCTCCTTTATCCCTTCTTTTCTCTCTCCTTTATCCCTTCTCTCTTTCTCTCTCTCCTTTATCCCTTCTTTCTCTCTCTCTCCATTCTCCCTTCTTTCTCTCTCTCTCTCTCCTCTCCCCCTCCCTCTCCTCTCTCCCTCCCTCTCCTCCCTCCCTCCCTCCCTCCTCTTCCTTCTCCCTTCTCTCTCTCTCTCTGTCTCTTCCTCCTCTCTCTCTCTCCCCCTCCCTCTCTCCCTCCCTCTCCCTCCCTCTCCCCTCTCCCTGCCAAGCGCTAACCGTGGAGTGTGTTCTGGGTGGCAGCCCTCCGTGTGGCGCCGGCGGCGGCTGGCGTACGACGTGGCCCCCTCGGCGAGCGGCCACTTGAAGCACTGGCTGGCGGACGCCAGGCAGTTCACTCGGACGGTCCGCTTCGCGCCCTGCCTGCAGCGGGTCTACTACCCGAAGACGCTGCCTCTCGCCGCCAGGAGGGCCATCAGGCAGTCTGCCTGTGAGGTGCGTACACGTCAAGGGGGCTGTTTAACAGATGGTGCATTTATTCCAAGAGAAAATAGAAATTTTTGTCCCATCGATGATGCAATTTTGAGCACTTCTGATGATGGTACAATTTTGGGTCAGCTAGGCGGTACATATCGTCGAGAGAAAATACCATTGGGCTTATTTCAACGAACTCTTTAAATTGCATAGCTCGTGGAATGAGAAAAGTCCCATGACATTTAGTGTGTATGGAGGAAATCAATCCACTGCATCGTTTGAAAATGGAGGGACGCACCCTTACGTTTCTCTGCCACATCTGGGACTCAAGCCGACCCATGTAAGACTCATAGATGTCAACTAGCTTTCACTGTCGAGTCCACATACCACCCCTTCGCAACCACAGGTACACGCTTAAGTAGAGTGTGCCTGGCATGTACACGCTAAAATACTCTAGATCAGTCCTATCTGAAAGCATGGGCCAGTTTAATGGCACTTGCCGTACATTCTTATTCAGTGTGTACATGCAATGCACACACTATTTTAGCGTGTGCCTAGCAAGTGTGCTGTAAATGAGCGTGGAGAGTGTGCTTGGAAGCATGCTCTAATAAGAGTGCACTATGTACACACTTCAGTTTGCAGAGCATCCACAAACGCGTCGCTGAACTATTTCCCATGCACAGGTGACCTCGGCCGAGTTGAACGGGCAGCGCAAGGGGACGCAGACCTTCATATCGTGCCAGAAGAATCTGGTGGACCTGGCGCTGGTCAACCCGAACGCCGAGTGCCTGAAGGCGGCTCTGAAGGCGCCACGCCTGGCCAGCCTGGCCGTGGCGTACGACCGTGCGACCTCGGAGTGCAAGTCCCAGGGCATCGGCACCGTGCCCAGCGGCACCACAGGCAATCTGCGCAAACTGACCTGCCACCCCGGGGTGAGTACACCGCAGTTCTAGGTGTTGGGAAACTAGACTCTAAAATGTTGTACAGTGAAGGTTCTCCATATTATGGTGAAAATGTTCCATATTGTGGTGGTGCAGCTTACTTCATAACATACCTCTGAGAATTCACTGTACCTTATAAATATTTTGACGAAGTTCGTTGGTATTATGGAGAAAATGTCCACCGTAATATGTTGGTACAGCCTTTCACCGTAAGACATTTACAGTGTTCTCTGCAAACTCAACAGTGTACTCAGTACACTCTCCTCAGCGTGTACTCGCGGGCAGGCGCGGGGATTCAGAAACGGCTCGAGGCGATGTCGCAAAAGTTGCCTACCTACGGGAGCAATGTGTGACTTTAAGCCTACCTTGCAGCCTTCAGGGCCGAATGCGTGCCTGCTCACATGAGTACACCAGTGATTCACCCCTCTAAGTAACCTGCAATGACAGCATGCACACTGCAAATCCAAGTGTCGGACAGGTCGACACTTTAGAGCGTAGAGTAGGTAGTTGTCTACGCTTGCAAGTGTCGACCAGTTGTGTCCGACGCTTTGAAGTGTCGACCACACACTGTCCGACACCTGCAAGTGTCGACCACAGAATGTCCGACGGCTGAAGTGTGGGGCCACAATAGGAAACTCAGTGCAATTTGCCGTAGGACAAACAGTGTCCTACACATGCAGGCGTCGGACACAGTGTGGCGAGGGGGAAATCACTCTTAAAAACTGTGACCCGACTCTTCCCTATTACGTTCTATTACGCTATTACAGAAGGCTTATTACGCTCGAAAATATCCAGATCTAGTCTAAAATCGGACCCTAAATAGGGAAAATCTTTAAAAATTTGGCTATTACGCTATTACTATTACGCGTAATACTAGGAATCGGTGACCCGACTATTACGCGAGTGATTTCCCCCTCGCAGTGTGGTCGACACTTTGAAGCGTCGGACACAACTGGTCGACACTTGCAAGCGTAGGACAAACTGGTCTACGCTTTAAAGTGTCGACCTGTCCTACACTTGGATTTGCAGTGCAGTCAGCATTGTCTAAGTCTATCGAATTCCGGTGCAGGTCGGCCTCCCCGCCGTGGAGGCGCTAGTGCTGGCCAACGCGGCCACCCTGGAGGAGGTCGGGGTGCACTGCCTCCCGGCGGACGCGCTCCTGCGCTGCGAGCGTCTCCGGCACCTGCTGGTGCGCGTGAGGCCCGGCCACGCGGCGGACGAGGCCAAGCTGCGCCGGCTGCTGCAGGAGAGGCAGCCTCTCGACTTCCTCGCCTTCATAGGGTGAGTATTGCCCAGGCCGTCACAGTCACACAGTGGCCCTGAAGACCGGTGGAGGCTGTCAAAACTCTAGCCGCGTTTTGAGCTCCGGAGTCGCCTCACAGGTCTCGAATCAAACGTGTGACCCCACCAGTGGCTACCTCGTTCGGGAAGAAATCTCGTTCGATTTTAGTCCCATTTAGCGATTAGAGCTTACAACGCGTCTACACTCTGAGACTCGTACTTATCTTTTGTTTAATTGCGTATTGAAGTTTGTGCACATTTTTATTTGTTTAGCTGTCTATAGGAGTACGGTGTTTACCTTACCTGGAAGTACAGCGATTTCCGTAGTTTGTTCAGTGTTGAAAATATCTTGCCTTAAATTAAATCCCAAAGAGTTGGAGAAAATTTTCAAAATCGTCTAAAAATTGACTTTGATGTCAAGAAAAGAGTGCCTCTTGACAAGTGCATTTTACAAAGCAAGGTGATCGCCGTACTTGTTGATACATACGGTAAACGCTGTACTTCTAGGTACGGTAAACACCGTACTTTCAAGCATGGAAAATCCTGTTAATAAATCAGCGGCGAAAACCGTTCATTTTTCTTCCAGTGTAGTTACGGGGTGCATTTCTGTCCGCAGCACCCGCGGCCACGCTCAAGCGCCCTGCGAAGCACTGCGCGCCTCCCTCGGCGACCGGGTCGGCACCGGGGCCGTGCTGTGTTGCTGCTGCGACGGCGTGTGCGCCCAGCAGCGACCCGTGTGCGCGAACAGGGTGGCGCCGGAGGACCAGGACGACGCGGAGTTGGACGTCAGGGCCAACGTGTTTCGGCTGTCGGGCCACTGCCAGTGTGTCACCTGCCGCTCGGCGACGGGGGACCATGAGGACGACGACGACGACTCTGGGGAAGAGACCGAAGGCTGACAGGCAGCGATCGGCCGCCGCAGTCAACGATTTTGTGTTTGCGTTTACCTCTGTATTAGTTTTGTATTATCGTATTTTTTGTTTTAACTTTCGTATTTCTTGTATGAACTTCTGTACTTAATTTAGTTCTTACCTTTGTATCTACTTTTGTACTTACCTGTGTTTTTACTGTTGAATTTACTTTGGTTCATTCCTAGAAGTCTTCGCAAGGTGCAAGGAAATTGAAAACAGTACTATTTTTTTGTTTCAAATAAAATGTGAACCCAGTCTGGTAAATTAGTACACTTCTGAACTCTTTGAGTCGTCGTAAGGTGCAGAAATTTGTGACCGTTTAGTTTTATGTTTTTAAATAAAAGACGACGACTACTAAGTCCGGTAAATGAGTAATTTCGTTCCTCCAGATGGCGTCTCCCTCACCCCTATTAAATGCAATCTAGTGCCTTATTATTTAGGTTAATTTTTCATCTAAAAGGCATACGAGACTTCTTCGCACTGGGAGATAAGATGAAGTTTGTGGGTGTTTATCAAGGGGGGAACAGCTCACATTTATTGTACAAAATTTAACCACATTCCACATTCAGGTGGCAAAATCGCCTGTAAGTAGGCAACATGAATGGCAAGTACGCCAGATATCTTGCACATTCACACAATCAGTGTACGCAATTTCTTTTACAGTGGGTCGCCCCTCACTTTAAATTTTGATGCTACTCTCCTCTCTACTGATCCGAAATAAGGTGTACGGCCAGCCCTAGGACAGGCATGCACAAGATAAAGTGGGACAAACGGTGTCCCACGCTTGTAAGTGTAGGACAAATCCGTGTCCCACACTTGCAAGCGTAGCTTGGGGCAAACCATGTCCCACGTTATCTAGTGCATGCCTGTCCCACACTTAAATTAGCAATGCGGATAGTCCTGGCAAAAAAAAAAATACAGAATTTTCCGTACCTTTATGCCACAGTGGAGCATTTCTCAGTAGGAAATTGGGAACGCACCATTTGAGAGTTTCTTTGGCCACTAGGTCTACGACCCCCCCCCCCCCCCCCACACACACACACACACCAAAAAGAGCCGTTTAGGGGGGTTTGGAGCCTCTGCCAAACCTAGGGTTCTCGTCAGATCTCGCTTCCGAAGTTTTCCAGCAGGGAAAGAACCCACAAACCAAAATAGGTCCATTCTCAACAGGTACTAAGCGAAGTGTTTTTATTCGTTTGCCTGAAGTTTCTCAAGTGCTAGCACAAACGGAGCGCATGTGCGCCAGGCGCGGATCCAAGGGGGGGGCGATGGGGGCGTCGCCCCCCCCTGAAGGCGGCGAAGCCGCCTGAAAGGTAGGCAAAAAGTCGTGCATTACCCCTGTAGGTAGGCAACTTTTGCGACGTCGCCCCCCCCCCTGAACCCGTCCCTGGATCCGCCCTTGATGTGCGCTAGGGCAGCCGCACAGGCTGTACGCTTCGCGAAAGGTCATTGTTACGCCCTTGCTTTACAAAGTTTAAACTCCTCGAAAATCGTTTCATAATACGAAGAAAATGAATGCACTGTAAAATCTACGAAGAAATAATTCGTATGATGAAGCAGAATCCTTCCTAACGAAGCATTTCTTCGTAACGAAGCAATTCAATGCCTTCAGTTTTTTTTGTAGTTAAGAGGCAAGTGCTTCGCAGGCTTGTACCAGTGTTACGCTAAATTATATCCACTGCGCGCGGGCTTCTTACCCCTCTTCGATCAGTGCATGAAGTCGTTAAGCCTTCGTTTCGTGCCGTCTACACTGGTGTACATAACGACCCGAAGACTCACCGCGCCAGCACTGCCAACACAATGGACACATCGGTGAGTCTCTTCTCAGGAAAACGTTGTTCAATAAAGCATAGCATCCTAGTCATGGGCGAGTGAAGAACAAGCTAAATCACAAAGCTAGAAATTTCGGGGGCAACTCAATCGCGTACACCTGTTCAAGTGCATTAGTACACACTAAAATGTTAAAGTACTTTTATTGTTTCTAACTATGCACACTTATCATCTTACGATGGTAACACGAACGTAACATACGCTGAAATCAAAACATGCGTATTACGCTGAAATGTCATCGTAATACAATCGCAACCAACGTACCTTACGTTGACAACGTGCGTAATACGTTGAAAACATGCGTATTACGTTGAAAATCCTGCGTACCTTACGTTCACATTCGTGCGTATTATGCAGGTTGGAAATTGGTCGTACCTTACGATGGAAAATCATCGTATTACGCATGAAAACCAACGTAAGATGATAAGCGTGTGGCGATGTAGGTACTAAAGCTATGTACAATTTTATACGTAAATAAGGGGCAACATTTCCATATTTTGCTCTAGTATTTTCAATGTACAACTTTGTACATAACTTTCGTATGCTCAAATATGACAAATATGGACAAAAAATCCAGAAGTGTATAAGAGTTTTCTGAACCGTCACTGAAAAGGAATTCATCCTGTTTGATAGCCTTTATTTAGAAGTTTTTAAGTAGAAAACGAAGGCATTGCAGAATTGCCTCGTACTGTGAAGAAATGCTTCGCATTGCGAAGTACTTTGCTTTATGATACGAAGCATTTCATCGCAGATTTTACAATGCATTCATTTTCTTCGCGTAACAAAGCGATTCTTCCTAGAGTTTTTGCTGTGAATAGGGAAAGCGAAGGTGGGACACCATGTGACAAGGCTACCATGTGACATTGGATTTTCCCCCTAACGGCTTGCTATCCATCAGCGGTACGAAGACTCAAGGAAGGTAAGGGAGGGTGGGGCAGTTTGAAACAGAATTTGGAATTTCGTTATTATAATCGCACTGTTGGTCTATATGCTGTGTGTTTGCACTAGATTGATAGAATGACTCATTATCTAGACTAGAAAATGCCCGCAGACGCTTACAACTTCGTTCAAAGTTAATAATAAGGTAAAACTCCAACCCTTGCATCTGTTTCAAAATGCCCCAGGCCGGGGCAGTTTGAAACAGCGATGGGGCAGTTTGAAACAGCTGTATGGAAGTCAACACGGGCCAAGAAGAGCCGCGTACACAACTCAAATAGATTCAAATAGACTCAAATAGACGTTCCCATGCAAGTGCTGACATTTTGACGAACTTTTTCAACATTTTTGCTAATAATTTAAAAGCCAAAAAAGCATATTTTTCAAAATGCGAATTTTTTGAAAATTTGTATGGCAATGGATTCGTCTTAGAGAGACGAACAAAAGTTGTTAACACACATTACTGTTTTTGAGTTGAAATGAAGGCCTTTTCCTGCCCGCAAAGTTTACAACACGCAACAGTCCATAAATGTTGCATTTTGATGCAAGTCACGGGTCAAACATAGAACGTCTCCATTGATGCCATCTGGAATTATGAACTTCCATCGTCATGCTCGCTTTCCATAATATAAAACGTTTTTTCTAGTGATATTGCTGTGTTTCAAACTGCCCCATCCACATCTGTTTCAAACTGCCCCAGAGGGCACCATTCCAGTTGTGCTGCTCCCCGCCGGACTTGGTGAGGGCTACGTCAGTGTCCGAGGGTGCGTTACGTTTGTCTAATATGGTACTAAAAGATGAAGTAAGTGCGCGGGAGATGATTGCTTACTAGCGAAACCCAGACGGAAACTCCCGTGACTTAGAAATTTAAGTTTAGGCCAATTTCAATGTTACCGAAGTTTCACCTTGTTTTCAAGGCCACCAAAGTGCACCGTTGACGACCGTGTCGATCGCAAATCAGTAAGATCATGAAAATAGAAGATTGTGCACACTCACATTTCCTTCGGCAGCCCTCATTGCTTTAATATTGGTGTTTGTTTCAAACTGCCCCTGTTTCAAACTGCCCCACCCTCCCTTACAAAAAAGAGGCATCGACGTACAACAGACTGTGGCTCTACTCTGCCAACTCAAGTGTGTGCCAGGCATGCACTTCTTGGTGCATGCCTGCAAGCACACACTTCCTGGTGCATGCCTGGCAGGCACACACTTCTTTGTGCATGCCTGCAAGCACACACTTGCTTGTATGCACAAGCGACGGCAAGTGTGTGCCTGAGGCATGCACCAGAAAGTGTGTGCCGGCCAGGCATGCAGAAAAGAAGTGTGTGCCTGCCAGGCATGCACCAGGAAGTGTGTGCCTGCCAGGCATGCACCAGGAAGTGTGTGCCTGCAGGCATGCACCAAGAAGTGCATGCCTGGCACACACTTGAGTTTGCAGAGTACGTCGAAAAGGGCGGGAATAATATAAAAACACATTTTGAGGACTAATTTGAGGAATCTCTGTCCTGTGGAACGAGTAAGCTGCAAATTCCGTTATCCTCCACGGAATTATACTTTTTACATACCGTAAACCGGGGTAACTTAAGGGGGCAGTAGCGTCATTTGCACGTATTTTGACGATTTTCGAACCTCCTGTTCAGACGTTAATATGAAGATATAAACTTTATATGAAGTATGAATCACTGGTAAAACTACTACGCTTCAAGACGGTACGCCCTTCTTGAAGCGTACAATTACGCTTCAAGGCGATTCCCCCATGCATAGGAAGAAAGGAGCGCATGAACTCTTGTACGCTTGAAGAAGGGCGTCGCCTTAGTTTTACCAGTGCACCGTGTCTCCGTCTGAGCCATCCTGGAGCACTACAACCTGCGTTGAGCGTCAGCACACTACAAACCTAACTGTCTACTAAGTACACACTTACAAATGCATGCTTGGCCAAGTTCACACTTACAAATGCATGCTTTGCGAGTGCATACTTACAAACGCATGCTTGACGCATGGAGTTATACGGCGTATATATATATATGCAAGTATACTTGCAAGCATGCATTTCTAAGTGTATACTCAGTAGACAGTTATATTTGCAGTGCACTCAAGTCGACTCTCGTGCAGCGTTTCTGATGGCTTCCGCTTTTGCCTGCAGCTCCTCTCCCTGCCGGAGGACGCACTGCTGGCCGTGCTGGCCTACCTATCGCCTCGAGACCTCTTCCAGTGCCGCGTGCTGTGCCGCCGCCTGCGGGAGCTCTGCCTGCATCCGTCCCTGTGGCGCTGCGTGCGACTGGTCGAAGGCGAGGGCCTGCTGCGCGCCGCCCTCCGCCTCGCCTCCGCCAGGTCGGTCCGGACATTGCGGACCTGGAGACCGTGGCCTCCCTGGTGTCCAGCACCGACTGCGTCATCGAGGAGCTCGGAATGGAAGTGCAGCACCCGCTCGACGTGATCAGGGCCACGAACACGCCGCAGAGGCTGTCTGACCTTGGGGGCCTCAGAGAGCTCTGTTTGAGGATCTATGATATTCCTGGTGAAGCTCTGCCGCCACTGTTACGAATGGTGTGCAGTTTAAACGGTCTTCGTAGTCTAGATCTCAAGAAGGACCTCTATGGTGAGC